ACTATAACCTGGTGTTGTGTGACTTCTGACTTTGTCCAACCCAGTCCCACACTGGCACCTGCACATTATAGCATTATTGGGAGATACTATCGCATGCAACGTGCCTGCTATTTAAGTATAAGAAATAGTGTGACAACATAAAGATTACCAGGACTAAACTCCTCATCAAGCCTCAGAAGACAGCCAAAATTAAAGTTGTTACAAGTACAATAAAATGGAAGCAATCATAGGAATTTGTACGATCACAACAGATTTGCTTGCAAACCACCATCCCACAGCATTGCTTATTGTGAAGTCCATGGTCTTTGCTAGTTTTATTCTGTCACTTTCAGAGGGTTGGGACAGGTAGATTGAGCTTGTTGACATTGCTGGAATCTAATATTGCATTGAATTACAAGCTCTCACATTGCTAATTGTTATCATTGCTTTCTATATCTGATTTTGCAGCCGAATTAAGATTATTCATTAAGGAAACACTTCTATCATGCAGACAGAAAGTAAACAGAACCTCAGAAACCAGTAACTTCAAATCATAATCAGCTTTAAAAGGAGGAAACATGCTACTATAGAGTTTCTTTTTAGGAAGGTAAATGTTAAATGTATTAAAGATAGCAATCTGTTCAGGTGCACTTAACTCTCAACAGAATAACTCTAAACTCCCACCATCTAATAGCTCCAAGCTGCAACATTAAGAAAGAAAGAAATTTGGCTTTGATAGACTCTGAGAAGATACTAAACCATTTAGTTCATCAACATTAAAATGCAAATTACTGATATGGTTGAATGTTCTGCATATGTCGAAAAAGATCAATTTAAGTGATTAATCTACAATAGATACATTCGAAGGTTGAGCTCAGGCAGATTTATTGAGAATACACTTGTCTGAAACACCTGCACAGACTGGTTGGGCAATTTCTGTACTGTACATTTCATGACCAATCTACCTAACCTGCACATCTTTGGAGGAAATACTTTCTGTTCAGCAATCATTGTAAGAATGACACAGACGCAAAGAAATGCAAGACTGGCTTTCCTAATCATTGCAAAAGTTTTCCCAAAAACACACTTTCTTCTTATTCTCACTTTTTTCCATGGGTCAAGTAAAGATGACTAATTTTGCAGAGATTTAAGTTCGGTTGATTTCTCGCAAGAACCAAAAGAGTTGAGAGCAGCACAGAATCAAGAATTTAAAAGATCTAATTGTAGTTTTACCAAAAGTTATACAAGTATGGAATAAACAGAATGTTTTCACCAGCAGCTGAAGCTCCAAGTTCCCTTTCAAGATCATAGCTTGCTTAAACAAGCAACCAGTGAAACAGTCATCACCAGTGACCATCACTATTCTGCAATTTGAGAAGCCAAAGAAAAAACTAAGTAGAAAAATCATCAATACAGAATCCCCACAGTGTGGAAGCAGGCCATTTCGCCCATCGAGTCCATGCTGACTCTCTGAAGAGCATCCCACTCAGACCTACCCTCCTACTCTATCCCGGTAATCTTGCATTTCCCATGGCTAATCCACTTAGCCTGCTCATCCCTGGACACTATGGGCAATTTAGCATGGCTAGTCCACCTGTACACCTTTGGACTGTGGGAGGAAACTGGACCTGCAGGAAACCCATGCAGACATGGGGAGAATTTGCAAATTCCACACAGACAGTCACCTGAGGCTAGAATCAAACTCAAGTCCCAGGCGTTGAGAGGCAGCAGTGCTAACCATTGAGCTACCATTGTCATCCCAGAATGTGTCTTGTTTTCACTGCCCTGGGACATTGAATTAGCCAGTTTGGTATTGCATCCGTGAAATGAGCCTGACCTCCCTCCCTTCTTCATGCCTTAAATGCACACCCATTTATCACTTGCTCAACCTCAACTTTGCAATCTGCTGAATCCAATCGCATTGGACCAGATTTTCCAAGGAGTAGCAATAGCTGTCAAATTGCCACTCTACTCCTTGTTTCTTTATGTTAAAGAAGAGCTCTGCAATTCTGGCAGAAGAGCCCAATCATGGCTCCTTGAGAAATGCAATCCGGCAGACTCCCATATAGTGCAGGATAGAATTCAAACCACACCACTTTTTCCCAGCACTCAGTTATCCTATTCTGTGATTTAAATGACACTGCTCAATGGTGGAGGTCGGTGAATGTCGGTGCCAGTCAAGTGGGCTGCTTTGTCCTGATTGGTGTCAAACTTCTTGAGTTAGCGTATGAAATGCCCTGCCTTGAGGTATGATGGATGTAGGTTCATTTGAGACTTTCAAGGGAGTATTGGATAATTATTTGAATAAAAATAATGTGCAAGAGCAAGGGGAGAAAACAGGAAATTGTCACTAGACAATGTTCTTATTTGAAAAGTTAATGCAGACATGATGAAATGAATGATTCCCTCTGTGTCATAACACATCTGTAATTCTGCTTAGAAATCACAGCTTAATTATGAACGAACAAGATCCATCTTTATTCAGGCATAGAACCAGATTGTTTCTTCAGTGATTCCAAAGTTCAATACAGAAAATAGTTCCACGTAGGAATTTGGAAGAATTTCTAAAATCACCTCCAAAGTTTTCTTTCCTTTTTGGAAGCTGTGCCCACTAAATCCATGATTTAACTTTTTCTACAATCTTTAGCAAATTTGTATTCCTCTGTAAGAACACAGCTGAGACGTTTAACTTCCAAATGGAAAAAATCATTGTCCACAGTCTTTCCTCACAAGTCTAAGTCGTGACTCTAAGGATTAGTCCTGTGACACTTGACATAGAATCCCTATATTGTGGAAGCAGGCCATTTGGCCCATCAAATCCACACCAAACCTCTGAAGAGCATCTCACCCAGAGCCACCCCCTATCCTATCCTATCCCTGTAATGATACATTCCCCACATCTTTGAACTGTGGGAGGAAACTGGAGCAAACACACACAGGCATGGGGAGAAACTCCACACAGTTGCCTGAGGCTGGAATTGAACCCAGATCCCTAGCACTATGAGGCAGCAGTGCTAATCACTGAGCCACTATGCCTCCAGGGCCTGAATGCCTATCTCTTATTTGGAAGGAATGGATGGAATCATGGTGGGGTCTACCCAAAGTACTTCACAATTTGATGATCACCCTGTCTGATTTATATTCTATTGTTGTGGCAGTACCATTGAATTGACTTTTCAAATTTGTTGCTGCTGATCTCAGGAAGCTCAACACTGTCAAAGACACCACATCTAGCACTCTAAACATTCATTACCCCGTTGCAACTTGCCAAGGTTCCTTCGATTGTAGCTATCTTAACCCACATCATATTGAAGAAAAGAAAGGCCAAGTAAATGAGAACATGACCATCTGCAAGTTCCCCTCAAACTTGCACATTACCCTGACTACTATCATAGTGCCCTTACTATCACTGAGTGTAAAACCGGGAACTCCTTTATAGCAGTGTGAGTGTATATGTAGCGGATTGAATGCAGCAATGAATGACTAAGACTTAAATCTACACTGGTTTGATTTATGATAGTTACCATTTCTAAGTCTAATTCTGTGTCTTTCTCAGCTGTTTCAACAACATTCATAGAACATAGAACATAGAACAGTACAGCACAGTACAGTCTCTTCGGCCCACTCTGTTGTGCCAAACTTTTACCCTAATCCTAAATTCTATCTAACCTCCACCCCTACCTTATACTATCATCCATATGCCTATCTAATAGCTGCTTAAATGCCCCTAATGAGGCCGACTCCACTACCCTCTCCGGCAATGCATTCCACACCCCTACCACTCTCTGAGTCAAGAACCTACCTCTGACGTCTCCCCTATATCTACCTCCACTCACTTTAAAACTATGTCCCCTCGTAATAGCTACCTCCACCCTAGGAAAAAGTCTCTGGCTGTCCACTCTATCTATACCTCTGATCATTTTGTACACCTCTATCAAGTCACCTCTCATCCTTCGTTGTTCTAAAAAGAAAAGCCCTAGCTCTCTCAACCTTTCCTTGTAAGACCTTCCCTCCATTCCAGGCAATATCCTGGTAAATCTCCTCTGCACCTTTTCCAACGCTTCCACATCTTTCCTGTAATGAGGCGACCAGAACTGGACACAATACTCCAGATGTGGCCGAACCAGGCTTGTATAGCTAGAACATAACTTCACAGCTCTTGAACTCA